ATATATATATATATATATATATATATATATATATATATATATATATATATATCTGTATATATATGTCTTTATATTGAGAGAGAGAAAGAGAGGTTAATACTAATGTCTCAATGAGATCTTGGAAAAAATAACAAAGAAATGTCATAGTTGAATAGTGATGTGTTTATGTGTCAAGCTGACAATGGATCAATTGTGACAGCTAGATTTTATGTCATCTTGACACAAGGTAGAGTTATTTGGGGAAAAAACACAATTGGAAAAGTTCACCTATCAGATTGGCCCATGGGCAAGCCTATGGGTATTTTCTTGATTAATGATTCTTGTGGAAGCTCACCCAGCTAACTATGGGTGGTGGTGCTCCTGGACGGGTGCTCCCCGTGACCCTTGTGCTATAAGAAAGCAGGCTGGGCAAGCCATGACATCAACCTTTTTCTATCCAAGTTGTTTTTAGTCCCGATGTTTTCTTGTAGCAATAGAGACACAACTATGGTGATGGGTTCACTAGCAGACATCACATAGCCAAGGAAGGCGTCAGCAAAGGTGAAGACAGAATGGAAGTGAGACACAGTCAAAGCCAAGTCAACAAGCAGAGTCAGCAAAGAGAGGCAGCAGAGTACTGGGAACTGGGGTGACAGCAGGGACTAAATCAAATGCAGTCAGAGGTGCAGAGACTGAGGAGCCCGAGGAAACAGTAGCTGTGAACTTTCAAAGTTCACCATGCATAATTAACCACAGAATTTAGAACTTTAGAAAATGACGGGAAAGATACATCACAATGGTAAAATCTAGGTGTTTCATAACAAAACTGCTGGAAAGGTAAGAGGAAAAAGGGCACATTTATACAATGAAACAAAGATTAAAAGCTACAGATTTCTCACCAGAAGACAATGCAGCATCCTTACTAAAATGTTGGGAATGTAATACGTAACAACAACAACAAAATAGAAAATGTGTTGTCTTATTTTTAGTAGCTATAACAGATAAGCTGATGCTGGGTAAGTTATGAAGAAGATAGATTCATCCTTACAGTTCAGGAAGCTGGGAAGTCCAAGGTCAAGGGGGCTGCCTCTGGCAAGGATCTCCTTCTGTTACTCCATGGCACACACTGTTCTAAGTCAGGAGCATGGAAGAATTACAAAGGAAAATAAGGAACGTGGCTCAGTCAAGGCTATGCATACAACTGATCCTGAAAGAGTCCTGTATCCACTCCGTCCTTGGTGCCCTTTGACACGGCTTTTGCAGCATCTCTGGTTTCTGCCGGTCAAATCGTGTCCCACTGCTCTGACTCCTGCAGTCCTCCCTTGGTCCCATCATCCTCTCTTCCGGCTTTCCATCTGCCAGACACATAGGTTGGTCAGCCTTGGGAGGATGAGCTCACTTTCTCTCCTCGTCAGTGGGCTTTGAACTTCCTCCTCTTTGCTCACAATTTAGCCGTTCTTTTGAAGCGGGTCGGATAAGCACCTGAGGATAATCTTTCTTTAAGAGAAAGTATTTAGGTTTGTACTGTGGTCCTTCAGCAGATTTTCCTATAAGAAGCTCTTTGCAATTCCGAAAAAGAAAAAGAAAATAAAAAAGAAAGAGATTATGTGATTAGTGTTTCCTAGTCTTACAAGATGTCCACCACAACATGCACCCAGAGTTGCCACCCCACACTCTACTCAGTAACTTAGGTCAGTTCATGGTTAACGCATGCGCACATACCACTCCCAGAGCCTCACAGAACCCGGACTCCATGTTTCATGCAACAGCCCACGTCGACAAATAGGGTCCTGTCTGTTTCTCTGAAATTCTTCATGGAGTTTTTCCTCAGTTCATGCGTCTGTCCTGGCCATGTCACTTGGAGTTCAATGTAGATCCCACCACAGTAACCCGGCTTCCACGAGGTGGATGTCTCTCAATGTTTGCGAGTTACCTTCTCCCTGTAAAGCAGTTTGACAGCTGCTGTGGAGGCAAAACAGGGGCAAATTATTTTCTCTAGTGTCTGACGACAAACTATGACCAGGAAGGAAATAGATGTTATTGTCTTCCCTTTGATGGTCCCCTTTGAGATGAGAAGTCCTGCAGCAGTCTTGGATTTTCCTTCCACAAGACTCTCAGACGATTGTGCCTGTATATTTCTTTAATTGACATAGTATACATATTTATGATGTATAATGTTAGAGTGTGGTGATTTGGTACGAGTTGCAGTATGTAATGATCACATTGTGATGATGGATGGCCGTTCCCACCTTCTTAAACACTAATTCTTTCTGCTGAACATCTTTGAGCCCCTTTGCTGGTTCTTTATAAGACATATAATAAATTCTAACTATAGCCACCGCTATGCTGCAGAATGCTAGAACTTCTCCTCATGTCCAACTATTTTGGCCTGTGTTAGCCCCTTTGAGTTTCTCCCCCACTCTTCCCTTACCCCCTCCCTGGGGACCACTGTTTTTACCCTTTACTTCCATAGCTCAAATCTTTTAACTTCTACACGTGAATGATTACATGAGGTATTTACCTTGCACTATCTGATTTATTTCATCTAACATAGTGTCTTCTGGTTCCATCTACTTTACAACAAATGGCAAGATTCCATTCTTCTCTGTGGGTACATAATATTCCCTCCTTTAAAAAAAATGTCTGCCCAGCAACAAGTACCACGATTGAACCTATATCTTGGCTGTCAAATTTTCCTCGGAAACCTCACAAGTACAAAACCCCATGAACATTTGGTTTTAGGAATATTAATTTTTCAATGTTTCTGGATTTTTGTACATGAGGACACCCAAGAAACTCCCAGGCAACTCTCTCTCTCTCACACCCATGCCACCATTCCTCTGTCACAGAAAGCAGCCTCAAAGAAATACTCCCAGTTCAGCACTGATGTGGCAGAGGCCATCGCCTTCTTTGACTCCATCATTGCAGAGCTAGAGACAGACAAACGGCCGAGAGCTTCTGAGGCTGACCTGCCTAACGAAGATGTGGACTTCGATGGTGAGTTCTGGGAGAGCCGCCTATGTGGTGAGGGGAGGTGGGGTGTGAGTGGGCTCCTGGGAAGAACTTCCCCGACATGTCAGCCTTGATCCCTCTACCTTGTTTCAGTCACCCTTGCTGTCAATGCCCAGCCTACGTCTGTGGTTCATTTACTACAGCTATCATGGTGGGAACTCTCCAAGACTCCATGAGGGAAAGCAAGAGGAGGTGATTAAAGAGAGAAGCCATCAACAAACTAGTGTTTTACAGGGGAAATGCTTCAGCTTTTCAAGATGAGAAGAAGAAATCTGAAATGTGAACATTCTTAATGCTACTTAGCGGTGCATTCAAAATGGCTACAATGGCGACGATGGGCATGATAGTGCACACCTATAACCCCAGCAATAGGAACTAGGAGGGTAGACAAGTTTGGAGGCCAGCCTGGGCTACGTAAGGAGATTCTGTTTCAAAAATCCATAACTTGGGGCTGGAATAGATCTCTTAGTCTATAACATGCTTGCCTCAGAAGCTTGAGGGTCAGAGCTCAGTCCCCGGCAGCCATGTCTGTGTGATGGTGTGACTCTATAATCTCAGTGTTCGGGAGATGGAGGCTGGAGGATCCCCGCGTTTGCCGTCCAGCCAGGCTAGCTTGATCACTGAGCTGCAGGATAGTGAGAGAACCTGTCTTCCAAAGCGGGGAGGGGGGAGAAATTAAAGAAGGCATACTCACAAATATACACAAACAATAAAGCCCAAATCCAAACCTCACAAGCCATGGAAGTATATATTTGATGTATGGACCTTTTATAAAGGAAGAAAATGGGCAAGAACTCAGCTCTGAGCCTTCTTAAGCTACTTAAAGTGGAGCATTAGGCAGGACAGAGATGAGGTGAGGTGAGGGTGCCTGTTCAGGCCCAGCGGATCCCAGAGAGGGTGGAGGGATGGGGGAAGACTTCACTGAATGAATTCTGGTCACCTTGAGCAAGGCAAACATGGCTCTGGCAGGACTTGCCCTTCTCCCTGATTCCCTCTGTTTTGCTAAAAACCATTAGATCACATTCCTAAAGTCTATTCCCTTATTTGGCCACTTCCTCCAAAGTCCAGCTACCAATGTATTGAAGTCCAGCAATCAAAAGTCCCTTTGGATCACCTAAGTAATCTGGCCCAATCAAAATTAAATTCCTCATCCTAACACTGAGTTTCCCTCTTTACCTTTACAAACTGCCATTTTCCTATGTAGCGTGTCTGTCTTCTCTATCTAGAGGCAGTCCTTGTCCTACTCTGGGGGACAAAATATCCCTGCCCCCTCTCCTTTGCTCCCTTCCCCTTCTCCCTCATCCTCCATCTCTTACAGTCTCTTATTCTCTGCCCTCTGGCCCTCTGGGGCAAATACATCTCCTTTATGCTGAGAACTTGGTCTTGGGATCCTGAGCCCATGGCATCCTCATACTCAATTCTAACCAACATGTCGTCCTGGCAGATGGCAGAAGTCCCAACACTTATGAGCTGAGTCCACTTTTACATTCCAGAATTGCTAATATCTTAATCTGCGTCTCCTCCCACCCCCCAACTGTGGAACCTGTCAATGACTTTATTCAGAGTCACTAGCTCTTGGACAACAAGATAACAGCGATTACTATAAATATCAGGTGATTCTTGAGTATTACACAATGCTCGCCACAAGGCAGGCTCATGCTTTCCTGTTGCTCTGGTGTGGCAGGCACTGCATTTCCATGGTGGCTTCTGTGGTTATAAAGGCGACACCCACTGTGGATCACTCTCCCTTACATGCATCTTAGTGTATTCTCTGCCTCCCATGCTGCTCCTGTCCCCATGACAGTGGCCTGGAAACCAACTGAAACTGAGGAAGGGATGACAGAGTCCTGAAGGACACAAGGACATCCTCATGGTTGTAATAAAAATGGTGGCTGTCATGAATGGGCCGTGTGTGGAGGGCTGGAAATGTTGTTCAGTCAGAAGAGTGCTTGTCTGGTGTTCACAAGGTCCTGAGGTCCATTCCCAGCACTGTAGGAACTAGGCATGGTGGTAATACATAGAATTCCACCACTCCAGAGGGGGCACAGAAGTCGAAGGATATTCTTGGCTGCAAAGAGAGTTCAAGGCTAGCCTGGACTACATGAGCCCCATCCATCCAGACAAAATAAAACAAAAGCCCCATAAACATAAGAAAGGCCATATCTTTAATCTCAGCACATAGGCAGAGGCAGAGGCAGAGGCAGAGGCAGAGGCAGAGGCAGAGGCAGAGGCAGAGGCAGAGGCAGAGGCAGAGGCAGAGGCAGAGGCAGAGAGGCAGAGAGGCAGAGAGGCATCTCTGTGGATTCCTATAGTGAGTTCCAAAGGCCAGTGTAGTGTGACAGAGTTTTCCTGGGAAGACATAACATAAATATGTCTGTTTATGCTAGTGTCCAGGGCCTAGACAGATAACCCATGGCAGACCAAAGTAACTTTTGTACAAATGTCCAAACTGGTGAACCAATGAGTTTTTATTGAGGTTATGAACAGGAGTTTGGGTGAGGGGTTACCTACAAGAGCAGGGCAAACTCAAAAGCAGCTGCATCACCAGAAAGCCTGCCCACCACAGGTGAGAACTCTTGGCTCCTGACAACCTGCAGCTCCACATCCTTCTTTCTGGGTTGGCTGCTCTGTCCAGCTACTGTTTACTCCTCTGGAGTTTTGGGTGAGGACTCCAGAGTCTTTCGGGTTTTTGTTCTGATACATGTGACCTTTTGGTGACCAGTTGTTCACCACTGTTGCTGGTGAATCCACTCCACCCTGAAAGAAATGTTTGAATGTGGAAGGGGGGCTGCAATCGGAGGGAATGAGCAATAGGACAGCCAGTGAGAACTCTCAGTGGTAAAAGTGTTTGAGCCTGAAAAACTGAATTAAATCTCCAGAGACAACTAACTCGTGAAGGTCGTCCTCTGATATACCGTTTCCTCCAAAACAGCACCAATAGTCTATGCTCACTGTAAATCAAATTAACCAAACAGCACACTGAGTGTTAAGAGAATAAAAGTGCTAGGAGCCATGGCCCAGCTTTTACGAGTTCACACTGCTCTCACAGAGGACTAGAATTCAGTCCCCAACCCCACTCTGGGCTCCCATAACTCTAGCTTCGGGGGATTCAGCACCTTCTTCTGGTCTCTGAGAGCACCCACACTCACATGCACATAATTAAAATGAAAAACTAATTTAAAAAAGAAACTAACAATTACCATCTGTAAGTCCCTACCACTGTTAACACTTGGGCCTGTGTCTTTCACAAATTGCTTTCAACACACTCAATTTTTATTTATATTTTCCTTTTTTAACAAAAACAGGATCTCTTTGAACAATATCCATACAATTCGTCGCGGCATCTTTCCCAGTCAATGAGCACAGATCTGGCCTCTGTCCCAATAGGAGCTTGCAGAGTCAGACTCCGCCCCTCCCCGCCTCCCACCCCTGCAGCCTCCTGCAGAACTCGCATAGTGAGCTCCAGCTTCCTTTGCTGTGGAGACCCTACCTGTTCAGGCTCTCCTTTCCTTTCTGCTCCCCTGACAGCGGCCATCCGCCCAGGTCACTTGCTTCTCTCTTCCAGTGGCTACCAGCTCGCGGGAGCACAGCTTGCATTCCAACTGGATTCTGCGGGCACCGCGAAGACATTCCGAGGCCATCGCTGCCCATGCCACAGCAGATAGCCGGTTTCGGAGGAGCACAGAGCACAGGGTCGCTGGCACCCAGCGGAGGCTTGAGAGACACCCCATTTACCTGCCCAAGGCTGTGGAAGGGGCATTCAACACCTTGAAATTTAAGCCCAAAGCCCACAAAAAAGAGTAAGTGCTTGGAATGAACTGAACCAGAACAATCTCAAGCGCCCCAGACTCCAGAAGGTGGCTGCTTCTGTCAGTGTGTCGGTCCCTTATCCCAAGCGCTAAAGTTGTTGATTTTACAGGGCAAAGGTCGGGGTGGGCGGGCGGGTGGTAAGATGTTTCCTCACAGGCTGTCCTCCCGGAGCCTAGCTCTCTGCCGTCTGTCCTCCACTCAGACCTTGCTTCTATCCTTTCTGCCCCCTTCCTCTCTGGCCTTCCGCTTACACCTTCTGACTATCTCTAATATAGTTTGGGTTGTACAGAGCAGAGCACCAAGCAGGAAGCAACATTACATGGAGACATTAGTGGCGAACCTTTGCTCTTCCGAGCAGGACTTCCTGCTGGCCTGGCCCCTGTGGGGACATACTGTCACTGGCTCCTGTGGCCTCTCTCCTGAAACATCCTTCTCTTAAGACTATGACAAAGTCTCACATTCCTCGTACCTCATGCAGGACAACCACTGTCACAGGACACAAGCGCCTATTCAGATTCCATAGCTGTCCCTTTACCTCTTAACAAGCCACTCAACTCTGATGGAACCGGCATTTCCTTGATAGAGTTTTACTTCCATGGTAACAAGAAATATGCTTGATATAGTAAATCCTTGGCCCAGCGCTCACCCTTGACCTCCTTTAAGGTCAGGTCAATGCCTACCTGAAGTCCATCTGTACCTTACCCTGTACCACTATAAGGTCTCCCCCCAAGGCCTAGAACTGGGGTAACAACATGATGTTCTCTGCAGGAATGGTGGTAATTTGGGTGTCCCTCTCTATGCAGTGGCCAGCTTGACCTTGACTTCCTTCCCTCCATCCCTTGCAGCCTAGGGAGTTCCAGACAGATCCTTCGAAACTTCTCCAAAGAGGACACGGAGTGGGATGAAGAGTTCTTCATGCAGGAGTCCCTGGTGTCTCTGGAGGAGGATCATTACGGGACAGAGAATCCCAAAGGGGAGTGGCTGGTCCGAGAAAGACTCTGGGAGAGGACAGTGCCCTGATTTGGCTTGCCTTAGCCTGGGTCTACAACAGGAGGTCTGCTTTCAGGGCAGTGTGAAATGTTTGGTAGAGTTAAAAAATGAAATTATAAACTTGTAACACAACCAAACACGCTCAACACACTACCCATCGGAGCCCAGCTAGTGCCAAAAAGAAGCTGAGTTTCCCAGGGGGATATGTCCTGGCGGGTATCAGAGCCTGGGCTTTCCACAGGAGTGGCCAGGAGAAAGCAGAGCCTGGCTGCTGGTTCCAGAGCAGAGGCACGGGGGACTTGAATGAGTGTCCCTGCCACCTTGCCTGGCCTGTCACACATAGGAGATTGTGCAGTTGGCTACAGGTAATGTGCTCAGAACTGGAAAGGAGCCAATCTGGAGTTCTGGCCCAAAGTGTCCAAAACTGTGTCCCCGAAGCCTATTGGTGAAGTCCTGAGCTTCCTCCATTCATGCAAAACACAGGCAAGAAAACACCCACTCTGCGCTAGGTCTTCTCAGGGTTTCCAGAATCTTTTGCTGCTAGGCTAAAAACAAGGCCAATATCCTTTCGGTAGGGTAGAGAAACGTCGGATCAGGGCTTGCCTTATGATCACCCTGTCACCCCTAGCCCAACCATCCATCTCCTCCACACAGACAGCCGGCTCTAGGCGGTGGTGATAGGTGGGTCTTTTCTAATTCTCCCTTCTAATTCTTACACAAATAAAGCTGTATCCATGCAACCAGCTCACCACAGGCTCTGCATCTCTCAGGTACAGGTAGCTGAAGCATGATGTTCTTTCTGTCTAGGAAGAATTTTGTAATTCAGCCATTGGCTGACTCACTGTTCCACTTTCAGTGTGTGCTTTGTAAACAGTCTTCATTAAGCTTAAGAGCCACTGGTCAAAGAAGACACTCCACTCTGACCTTCCTGCCTTTTCCTCATCCATATATTAACCAGGCGTCTTAGTCACCATCCCATTGCTGTGAGATGACACCATGACCGAGGCAGCTTACAGAAGGAAGGGTTTATTTGGAGCTTATGGTTCCAGAGGCTGAGCCCATGGCCATCATGGGGGGAGGAAAGGCTGCGAGCAGGCAGGCATGGCACTGGAGCAGAAGCTGAGAGCTCACATCTCAAAATAATAACTACAAAGGAGAGAGAGAGAGGGAGAGGGAGAGGGAGAGGGAGAGGGAGAGACTGAGAGAGAGAGAGAGAGAGAGAGAGAGAGAGAGAGAGAGAGAGAGAGGCACAAGCTAACTGGCTAACTGGCGATAGTTTCTGTTTTGGAAACCTAGTACTATACCTCCTCCAACAAGGCCACACCTCCCAATCCTTCACAAACAGTTCCACCAGCTGGGCCCCAGTATTAACATATATGAGCCTGTGGGACCATTCTCGATCCAGTCATTACACTTGGCCTGTACCTGCCCAGCTTCGGAGAGAGCTGAGGTCAGGCGTGCTGGTGGGGAAGGTGGCAATAGGCCTTCCTCACTGGCTTCTGGCAACTTATTATACAATGATGACTCTTCAGGGAGCATTCACATAAATGCAAGCCTGACTGGGATAGGAAAACCGGTGTAGAAAGAGAAGCACCATCTAAACCAAGTTAAGGACACTCTAGGCTTAGTGACCATGACAATTGCATAAAGTCCTGTGCTGTGTATTTTAATCAAATAGTAATAATTAAAACCTTTATATATGTTATCTTTCGTGTCTGAAGCTGAGAATTTTTAACCCTAAAGAAAAGTGACAGTAACCGTGCAGTGGCCCTAAGAACATTAAGCCAACACATTTCCCAGGTGAACTCACACCTGCCCTTTGGGTCCTCCTCTCCATTGGTTTTTCAAGTGCCAACATCAATGTCTGGGAGGTTTCTTTCATTTGTTGCTTGACTGAAAATGCAACATCCCAAGAGTTGTTTTATAGACAGCTTTAATGCTGTGGTCCATCTGCACATATTTCTTCCCTGAATGTGGCTTTCTTTAAAGTTCTGTGTTTGAAAGCTCTTTACTGTGGACAAACTAGGGGGTAGGGGTGGGGGTGGGGGGTGGAATTGGGAAAGAAGTCTGTTAGCCTCACCAAGCAACAGTTTGTAGTAGGCCGCCCTGATGTACCTCGGGGAAGGCACTGTGTCAACCTTGTGTTTAAGGAGAAGACAAGGGAGCAGGGTGGAGAAGATGCTCAGAGCCCAGCATACTTTCTCTTCTCTGAGATACGAAGCTATACCAGTCCACTTTGCTTGGGGTTTGAAATGCTTTTGTTTTTTAGTAAGACAGCCTGCTTGCAAAGTTCTAAAAGTTGAACTCATGTCTTATGGGACAACTTCTCTTTGAAGTTGGTGGCAAATCCCAGGATCTGGCCTATGGCTCATGAATCTTGTAAATACAAGGGTTTGAGATAAGTCAAATTGGAAAAAAAGGGCAATTTGGGAAAACCAAGATGACTGATTCTTATTCTTGAGGTATCCAATTATTGAAAGGGATCAGCTGGTCAGACAGTCTTAGTTTGGGTAGATGACGCCTGTAAAAAATGATGTCTTATTCAATAAAGTTCTTGTCTTTTAAGAAGAAAAACCTAAGTTCAACACCCTACAACTTTTTAAAAAAATATTTATTTTATTTATATGAGTACACGGTAGCTGTTTTTCACATCAGAAGAGGGCATCTGATACCATTACAGATGGTTGTAAACCACCATGTGGTTGCTGGGAATTGAACTCAGGACCTCTGAAAGAGCAGTCAGTGCTCTTAACCACTGAACCACCTCTCTACTCCCAACTTCTTTTTTTTAAAGTAAAACAAAAATTCTAAAAGCCAAGTTTGGTGGCACTCACTTATAACCCTGGCACTGGGAAGGCAGAGACTTGTGAATGCTTGGGACTACCAGAGTCTGTCTGTGTATCCTAATTGACAAGCTCTAGACCTGTGAGAGACCCTGACTCAGACAAAATACAAGGTAGATGACACCCAAAGAAAGACACCTGAGATTGTCCTTTAGCCTTCACACACATATATGTGCATACCTGCACATGTGTGAACACATACACACATAAACACACACACACACGCACATGTACATGGACACACACACATGCGCGCACACACACACACGGAACAGAAGGAAAAAGGAAAGAAATGAAGGAAAGAAAGAGACAAGTTTAAAGGACAAGACTCCCTGTCCACTGGCTTTGTGCCCTCTCATCTCCATGTAAGCATCCCACCACTGGGTTGCTATGCAACAACTGAGAACAGAGCCACCTGGTGTTAGACCAGAGCATCTCTAACAGAAGGCTGTATCTCCAGCATCACTGGCTCCCTTTCATAGTGATTTGTCTCTTTCTGTTGTTAATAATTTATCACAAATAAATTGTAATTAACAAATAAATTATCACAAATATAAAAGCATAAAATCCCCACAAGTTTATTACCTTAAAGGTTGGAATTGGGAAAATCCAAATCAGCTATATTGGTTAAGGGTTGGTAGGGCTTGTTCCTTCTAAAGCCCGCCCTAGCCTCTAGGGATGCTCACATTCCTTGCTAGTGTCCATTTCCTTGCATGGCCCCAGCCTCTTGCTTCCTCAGAGCCTCAGCTGATTTCTGCCTCCTCTTTATAAGGACACTTACAATGATATCAGTCCTTCCCATTTGGACAATTCAGGATCCTTGATCCATCTCAAAATCTTTCATTCAATCAAATAATCTGAATTTCTTTTTTCTTTTTGTTTTTTTTTTTTGTTTTGTTTTTTGCTTTTTGTTTTTTGTTTTTTGAGACAGGGTTTCTCTGTGTAGTCCTGGCTGTCCTGGAACTCACTCTGTAGACCAGGCTGAATTTCTTTTGTCAGGCTCTTATGTTCTAGGATTAGGTGAACATCTTTGGGAGGCTGTTCTTTTTTCAACCATATACCCAGTACCACAGGATGTCACTGAAGGCTTGTCACAGGAAAGTCTGAGTTAGTCACAGGAGGCCGGCTGGGACAGGAGTTTTCGGGCTCTACAGGTTTCCTCTCTTTCTCTGCGGTCAGCTTGCAGTCACTCCAGCCAGTGCCACTCTCTATCCCACCAGCAGGTGTCCTCTTGGCTGTGCTTACCGTGACCTAACTTGAGAATGCTCATTCTCACACAAATTCTCCCCACTTCACTTAGAGCTTCAAGAGGGAGAACATAGTCTGAGCTGCTGTCCGCAGTGCCTGGAACCTCACTAATCACAAGTTGTTGATGGCTTGATTGACAGTTTGTCTGAATGGACAAAGTGAAGAGCTCAGCTAAGGTCTGTAGACAGCAAGAGACATCATCGGGGTAAAGGGTTTGGGGAGGAGAGAGAGGTTCAGGCTGAAGCTGTATCGCGCATGATTCAGGCTGAGGCTGAAGAGCACATGCTCTGTACTGGAGGATGCGAGGCAGGTTTGAAGCCGCACAGAGCTTAAATTCATTCGTTCATGAGATATGAATGCCAAAAAGAGCAACCAGAGATGCCGGACACGAACTGCGGTGGATCCTGGAGCAGAAGAGCGAGACGGATGTGTGGGAGATGAATGAGCAGCGAACAGTTAGCATTGGGGGTGTGTTGAGGACACATAAGGTCTTATTTATCCCAAATGTGAATCTAGTATAATCATAATACTTTATTATTATTGTTATTATTACAATTATTATCATTATGATCTCCTAATAGTTTGGATTATGGCTTGGAGTCACTATGCCTAGCTCTGTTACTATTTTTATCTTCAATTAGAATATGTATTTGTTTATACATATATGTGTGTACCTGCATGAGTCTATGTGCACCATGCATCTGCAGCTGCCCAGGGAGGCAGAGGACACTGGGTCCCCCTGGAGCTGGGGCTAAAAGTAGTTGTGAGCCACCTGATGGAGGTCTGAAACCTCGTTCCTATGCTAGGACAGTGAGTGGAGCCATCCCTCTAGTCCCTCTCCCCCTTTTACAGACAGTCTCGTGTAACTGATACGTCTAGAACTCAATAGGCAGAATAGGTTGGCGTAGAACTCAGAGAGATCCTGCCTCTGCTTCCTAA